TTCTCTTCTCTTCTCTTCTCTTCTCTTCTCTTCTCTTCTCTTCTCTTCTCTTCTCTTCTCTTCTCTTCTCTTCTCTTCTCTTCTCTTCTCTTCCCACATTTTTCTCATTCTTCTCCTTCCATTGGCTCTCCCTGCCTGCCCGTCTGTGTGTCTGCCCCCTCTCCCTCCTCCCTACCCCAGCCTCCATCCACCCAACCATCCAACCAAGCTCAGGGCTGCCGAGGGGTGAGAAAGTGCAAGTCATGCAACACTGCCTAAGTGTTTGTTTTCTGAACAAGACTCTCTCTCTTTCTCACAGTCATTTATTTCTCTCCATCTCTATCTCCCTTTGTTTGTGTAACTCTTAACCACTCTCCCTCTTTCTCAGTTTCTCTCCGCCTTGCTACTCTCTTTCTCGGCCCCCCTTCAGCTTCTCTAACTCTGTGCCCATCTGTCATTGGCAGATCCTCCATCACTCTCTCACTATCTGTCCGTACTCCTATATGTGTGTTGTTTGTTGTTGTTTGTGTGCAATTACGAGCGGAGGATGACAGTGAATAAAGTGGCAGCCTTGTCAAAGTTCCCAGTCTGGCAAGGGTTCTTCTAATGTGCACACGCACACGCACACACATAGGCAGCGCCGTGCTTGCAAACACACACTCACACAGATGAATGCAAAACTACGTCGACAAAAAGCTGCAGAGAAGCTTAGATCAAGAAATAAGAGAAGGAGAGACAGACAGTGAAGTATAAGCCTGTAGCAACACTCTACTTTCTAGTTGAACTATATTTAGCTGTGAGATAACACATCACGTTGGACTTATCCCTTTGATCATGATTATGATTATGACTGGGCAATCATGCACCCACACACACACTGAAAGGCACATACATTATGTGCAGCAGAATTTGCATTAAAAAAGTTGCAATAGCATGTAAAATGTAAACTATAAGTGTTTAGCAACCAGTTGCTGTAATATTTACCCATTCTTTATAGGATTTCAGCTGCTCAGCAGTTTACTCTTTTGTCTATTACCTTTCATAAGGGTGAACCAAAGGGAGTTGTTTAGAAGCAGCACTCTTACCATAGAGCCAGTATGTTGGTATATGTGCAAAATGTGGTTTGGCATTATCTTCCTGAAAAAGATTTCATCTGGATGGCAGTCTGTGTTGCTTTGAAATCTCAAATATTTCTCAGCATTAGTGGTTCTTCACAAATGGCTCCTGCCATCCTTCCCTATTTGAACTGTGTGCTGATAACAAGTCAGATCACCCCTCTTCTCTGAGGTCATTTTCCTTATATTTTCCAAAAGATGTTAAAGTTCCCCAAGTGGAGGAGTTCAAGTATCTCGGGGTCTTGTTCGCGAGTGATGGGAGAAGGGAGCCGGAGATCG